TCCCAAAGTCACACACAGTTGCCACCAGGTCCTCGGTGGCCAGCAGGGCCTCCAGGGTCACCCTCCCGGTGCCCAGGGTCCTCCGAATGGGAGGGTCGCTGCGGAGCTCACATGGCTTCTCCTTCTCCTTCTTCTTTTTCTGCTTGTCCCTGGGCATAGGACCCTGCAGGGCACCAGCGTGGGGACAAGCCTCAGCAGAGGATTGGGGTCCCTTTAGCAGACAGCAAGCCACCCCATCCCAGTCCCTTGCCCACCACTGTGTCCAGACCAAGATGTGTCAAGCAGCTGCTGCCTTCCTCCCGTGGCAAGGGGCAACTTTGGTCGGAGGTCTGGGATGGAGGGGAGATCCTCTGACACACCAAGCTGATCCAGGAGAAGGGCCCTTGTTCCCCATCATTATTTTTGCAACTCCGATGTTGTTTGAACATCGTTCTCTCCCAGCACCCTACCTTGGCATTGTCCTTCTGCAGCCCCCGTCCTGCCTTCCTATTCGTGACTGCATTTTCTTCTGGCTCAGCATCCACAGGCCACGAGACCACCTGTCCCGAGAGAGGAGCTGGTGCCACAGGGGCTGGGACACCCGAGGACCCTGGCCCGGGGTCACTGCCGTCCCGGGCTGCCTCCCAGAGGGCACACAATACCACTGCTGGGCCTCCCAGCAGCTCCCTCCCCTTTCATCCCACGCTGCCACACGCTCACCTTCTCCTCCACGACCGAGACGATCGTTCCAGCCGCCAGGTAGGACTTCAGCCCCTCTAAGTCCTTGGCTGTGTGCTCCTTCCTGTAGCTGCAGTCGATGGTGTCTGCCCAGGGCTTTCCAGGGGTGACAACCACCTTTGCTGTGCAGGGACACAAGCTCTGAGGACAGACCTCTCCTTCCCGAGGACAGGAAGAGCCCCTGGGACATGACCGATGTCGATTCATTTGTAATTCCTCATTACCAGAGTGGGTCTTGGGCTCCTCGGTGGCTGCAGGGTCCTGCTGGCCCTTCATTTCTCCTGTGTCCAGAGCAGAGCTGTCCACATCCAGGGTGGCCACCACGGGACTCTGATGGATTTTTGCTGCCTGGAACCGAGAGGGATCTCTTGGCAGGGTCTGTCTGGTTGTATTTGCAGGACCAGGGGGCAGAGCTGCCTCCAAAACCCCGTTCCCCAAACCACCCCCGTCACTGGAAGAAGGGGCACCAGCACCAGGGAAGGGGTTTGCCGCAGGAGCAGGGCTGTAAGCGCACTGCCATGGCGCAGAGCAGCGCTGGGCTCCCTGGGAGGGACAGGGAACGTGGGCAGCAGGGACTTGTCCTGCCAGATGTGGCCACGTGTGAATTCTGTCCCCAGTACTGCTGCTGCCCACACCAGGTCCATCACGAACGGTCTCACTCCGCAGCCTGGAGGTGAAGTCCCCTTTGCTGTGACCTGCCTCTGCCTGTTGCTTTCAGGGGCTCGGTTAAGCACAAACCTCAGTGCTGCTATCGTCCTCGATCTCCTCGCCCTCTGCAAACTCGTACATCACACAGTAGCTGTAGGTGATCACCGGAGCCTTGGAGCCAACCTCCAGCTGCTGACGAACGCTGGGATCAGGGACTCCCTGGATTTCCCCAATGCTCACGACCACTCGTGCTTCACTCCTGATCAGCTCTAAAAGGAAGACAATCTCGCTGTGAAGCTGCAGCGTGCCCGTTCCAGAGCGAGGAAGGTACAGAGCAAGTGGAGGCCTCCAGGACGCTGTGTCCCACCACCTGGTATCTCTCCCTGCCACCCTGTGCTAACGCTGTGACAAGTCACTGCCACATGGGGTCACCCCAAAGCCACGCAAACATCTCCTGGTTCGCTTGCTTTGCCTCCCTGGTTAACATTTCCTACTCCAAAGAGCACATCCAGCGCGCAAACTCATTGAGTAGGGGCCATCAAGAGGGTGTCCCCAGGCCCCTGCCTCGTCCCTCTCGGGGATGTGCCACGCTGCAGAGGTGGCACCGCTTCGTGCTGGCAGCGCGGCACGCACCGAGCATCTCCCCCGGTGGAGCTGGTCCTCCTTCAGCAGGCTGAGAGGGAAACGCACCATCAGAAACCAGACAGTGTCTAGAAAGCAAAGATGGGGGCAGGCCACGAGAGCAAGGCAGCGCTAGGATTAGGTTGTTCCTCTGGTCTTTGGACTTGATTAAGGCACAAATTACCTTGATTGTAATTACGCTGCTGCAGGGTCCTCTGCCTGTCCCTGCTTGTACTGGTGGGGTAAAAAGGCACAGAGAAAGATCTCTATTTGAGGAGGGGCAAGAAGAAAGTCAACGCCGGATCCAGAGTTTGCCCTGAGGACTCCTAGCTCAACCACGATGAAACCGCCTCCCGAATCACGGGGTCATCGTGACGAGGTTCAAAGACGAAGGCTCACCTGGCTGTCTCGCCAAACCGTGGAACTGGTGCCTCTCATCAGGCCCTATGTGGACGTCATCAAGGATGGAGAGCTTGGGCAAGCTGTCCACAAGGAAGCCTCTGTAAGTGGGAATGAGAGCCAGCGGGTTCCCTTGGAGCACCAGGACGCGGAGCTTCTGCAGACTGGACAGCTGGGAGACCAGCCCCAGCAGATCTGTGAAGTTGTTAAAGCTCAGGTCAAGGGAGACAAGATTTGGCCTAAGGAGAGAAGCCAGAGAAGAAGATTAGGCAGACAGCATCCATCTGAGAAGAGAGCGACTGCCCTGGGTCAAAAAAAAAGAAACAAAAATTGTGTTTCCTCAGCACAAACTGGGTCAAACTGGGGACTCCAATGGTCCAATCTCAAGAGGCCAATTCCAAATTCCTGAGCCATATGGTCCATTGCCAGTCTGTCCCACAACTCAAACCCATCTTCCTTTAGCAACCATTAACCACCCCACTGCATCAGTTGGTGATGCCACCTAAGCTTTAGATCCTTCCCAGGGCAGAGTCCCAGCAGGGGCTTTGGGAAGGGCATGGAAGAAGGAAGCTGCCCAGGGACACGGGAACCGCGGTGGGCAGGGTGTCAAGGCAGTTCCCCAGGTGATCTCCCTGTTCCACACCTTGGCCACAGACCAAGACACCTTCTGAGACAGAAGTCAGCGAACAGAGAGTGCTCCGCGTGGGCGTAGGACACAGACCAAAGAAACCACTCCGCTGAAGGGCTGTAATTTCTTAACACAGGCCACTTTGATGGTTTGAGGACATCTGTTTACATCCACCCACCTCCCTGTCAGGAGTCCACGTTCAGCCTGCAGCATTACCAGAAGTCCGCAGTGAGGTACTTGTCCTGCGAAGGGCCGCGCAGCCTGTTGTATCCCAGCCCCAAGTGCTGCAGCTCCGGAGGAGGCTGAGCACACAGGTCCTGCAGATCAGCCACAGCGTTGCAGCAGAGCTCCAGGACCTGCCCAGGACAGAGAGAACAACAACCACCTTCTGCAATGAGCCGTTCCTGGCACTCCCTCGAGCTGCTCGGCTCATGCTGTGTTCCCAGATGGGACCTCCTTCCCCGTCCTGCCATTGCAAAGCACCGCTCGCTCACCTTCAGCGTCCGGGGCAGGTTGGCCGAGGTTATCCTGCTGATCTGGTTGGCGCTGAGGATGAGCTCCTCCAGCTGCTGTAACTGCAACAGACCCTCGTCGACCTCCTCCACCTGCGGAGAGTTGGGTTTGGCCAACTTGTCCCTGAACCACCTCGTGACGTGGACATGTAGTGTTGATCCACGTGACATACGTGTAACACAGATTAGTGCAACACGCTGCGGGGGGGGGCCCAGCAGCTCTACCC